CTCTGGCCTCCCTCAAACCCATTTGCTACATGCAGCCATATGATCTATTCAAATACAAACAGAGTTTATCACTTCCCTATTTAAAATCCTTCAAAATGGCCATTCTAGACTCTTTGGCATCATTTCTTATCACTCTCCCCAACCAATTAAACAACCATTCATTCAACAAATACATATACTGAGTGTGCACTGACAGGCACTTGGGATACAAAATGGAGAAAGTCCCCATTCTCATGAAGCTTATAACCTAATAGGGGAGACAGCCACCAGACAAAACAAATGAATAATAAGTCACATAAGTACTGAGAAGAAAAACAAAGCAGGATAATATCACTAAACAACTGTTCATCCGAAAAGCACAATGGAAAATCATGCAAATTTTTTGGTTGCTCCAATAATTAGGAGATACTATTGGGATTCAGTGGGATTCCAGGCATGCTGATACAGGACAGTCCCATATACAAAGAATTGCTCTCCATCTATAAGACTTTCATATGTCTATTTGGTGGAAAAACCTGCTTCTAACTATCTATACCTTAATTCCATCTTATATACAAACAGAAAGAAGTTTTGCATTGATTTTAATATACAGTGGATTTCCCAGGAATGAAACCATCATGTAAAGTGAGGGAAGACTGTACTTTGTTTTGTTTACAAGTTTACTATGAATTGTTCACCATTTTGGAAAATCAAATCACCCAGGAATGGCACTCAGTAATTTGAGTCACAAATATACTTATAAAAGTTTTGTGTTTGTAGCTGTTGTATTAATACTATGTATAAGCATCCAACCACTTCCTTGTGTCTTCTAATATAGTTGTGCCTGGGAATTTAAATTCTTAAATACATATTTAGCATAAATTCCTTTTATTTCACTTACATATTATAATTAGGATATTCATGTTTTTAAATTGTTTTAAAGGAAGATTACATTCATTCATTTATTCTTATGAAAAATATTTATTGAGCACCTACTTATGTTCTAATCACTATTCTAGGCACTGTGGATACATCAGTGAACAAAAACAAATATCCTGATTGACAAAAATGTAATAAATAAGTAATTATTTAGTTCATTAGAAGAAAAGTGGAACAGTGTAAGGTAGACTGGGAATGCTCTATGGATGTGGAGTAGGATGCAAAATTAATAGGCTAGTCAGAAGTCCCCACTGGGAAGGTAAGAGCTGAACAAAAACTTGAGGTAGAGACAGTCAAGTGCAAAAAGGGCTACAGCCCTAAGCTGGGCACATACATGGAATTATCAAGGAACAGTAAGGAGACCAGTGTGTCCATAATAGAGTGAATAAAGAGTAAAAGTAAGAGAGAATGGCAGTCTCTTACCTTTGGGGGCTGCAAATTATGTTGGTCCTTACAGCACACCTACAGTAAAGACTAGCTTTTACTCTAACTGAAAAGGGGCAATATTACAGGGAGTATGGGCAGAGGAGTGACATGCTCTGATGTAGGTTTTAAAAGGGTTGCTTTGGTTCCTACTTTAAGCTACTTGAGATTGAAGAAGACAAGAGTAGTTTTAAGAAGATCAGTTAGGAAACCGGAAGGATAGGACTGCCATCAAATGAATTAGTAACGTCTATGAGTACAACAGGTTTTTGTGGAGAGAAAGCAGGAGTTCAGTCTGGACATGTTTAGTTTGAGCTGTTCATAAGACAACCAAGTGGAAATACCAAGCAAATAGCTGGTATGTATGACATTTGAGAAAGTGGTCCTGACTGGAGTTATTCTTCCTGGTTTTGGTGCAAAAACATTGCTTTTTCATAAAATTTAGAGCAAACTTGCTAAAACCACTTCCAGGAAGACTTTATTTACTTTTGAAATTTTTAATGCTGAATTTTAAAATTATTTTCTGTATGGTTAGCTAACCAAAATAAAAATAATTTTAACAAGGAGAAAATTTACATGCACACCACTAATAACTTATATTTCACATATACACAGCCAATCGTCCTTATAGATTTTCTTTCCTAAATGAGTAAAAGGAAAGATGAGCAAGTATACCAGGCAGAAATGGGAATCACATAGCTGATATAATTTTGAGAGTCAAATCTCTCCAAGACCTAAAATTAGGAATTAACATTACTAGAAATTTTAAAGTAATCTCAGTTTCCATCTTTAAAAAGTCTTCCTTTGTGCGTTCCTGCACCTCCTCATCCTCCAAACCAGTTAACATGCAAACATTGTTCCTTTCTATCATAGTCAAACTGGTAGACAACAATTTTTGGCACTTGGCTTTCACTTCCTCATTCCAATTTAACTTCTAACACCTTTTTCTTCTGAAACTACTCTTGGAAGGTTCTTAACTGAATTCAACTCTACATAACATTTGATACTCTTCCTCCCTCTTTGTTAAAGCTCACTCCTCTCTGTGTTATCACTCATTCTGTTTTCTCTAAGCAGAATTCTACTGGCTCTTCTTTAGCTCCTCACCCACTTAATGCCAGTATGTCCCTGTGACCTAAATCCTCTTTTCTTCCTACTTTACATACTCTCTCTGGACATTAGCATCAGTCTCTCCGGACAATGGCATTGATACTCTTTCTTCTCATCATCATACACCAATGATTTCAAAATGTTTATCTCCACCTAGACCTACCTTCATGTCCTAAACTAGCATTGTCCAATAAAAATATAAGGCAGGGCATATATATAATTTTAAATTTTCTAGTAGCCATATTAAAAAAATAAAATGAAAGAGATAAAATTAATTTTAATATATTTTATTTAACATGATCTAAGATGTTATCATTTTATAATGTGATTAAGATAAAAAATTGTTTTTGAGCCCAGAAATTATTTTGAACCCAGAAATCATCCCATATTCCTTCACTCCGTTAACATGATGTAGCTAATCAATTACTAAAGTCTTTTTCATTCTATCTCCTGAATATCTCTCACATCTCAATATTGTAATGGCTTCTTTGTAAGTCTGTTCAATCACTGGGCTGTAAGTTCCATTGAGTCAGGAACCATGTTTTCTCTTCTTAGTATCTCCAATACTTCGCACAGTACCAAACATATAGTAAACACCCATTAAATATTTGTTGTGACAACCATTAACCATTTGCTATATGAAGAAAATAAATGACAATAGAAAGAAAAAAGTTTCCTGAGGAAACTGACAAAATTCAGAATAAAAAGACTAAAACAAGAAGCCAAAAAAGAGTTAATTGACTAAAATGAAAACATCATAAAGCCAAAACAGAAGTCAATAAATTAAAATCCAAACAAAATTCTAAACATATTACACAATTAGATTTAAAGTAACAAGATAAATTTAAATATCATAAAATATCCTAAGTAACTAAATTTGTATTCATTATATTTGGCTTTAATAAAATATAGTATATGATATAGTCTATCTATAGGTTCAGATCCAGATTCCTTACTAAAATAATTTATCTACTTTAGACTAAATAATCTTGTATTAAAACACATGCATAAAGCTTCACATATTGGTAAGGTTGAACAGATAACAGACTTATAGGCTGATAGAATTTAAAGATAATTTAGACACCACCTAGTCCAAGTCTCTCTTCTTACAGATAAGGACATGAGGTCTGGAGAATTGAAATAATCTGCCAAAGGTCACAGAGAAAGTTAGTGATAGTTCTGCTGTATTTAATATTCTGTTTATGAGTAGGTATCAAAATTATTTGTGTTAATTTTAAAAAATTAAGTAAGTACTATGACTACCATACACTTCAAGAAAAAAATGATAGTAGGATCAATGTCTACTGTACTTCCAAGCTAGGTAATAATATAATTACATTTTAAAATTCTATATTTAAAATAACAAATTAAAATTCCATTTAAGAAAAGTCCAAATAGCCAGAAGTAAAATAATAAGCTAAGAAATTATAGGAAGAGCAAAGGACAAGAGGAGGAGAGAAAAACAAATAATTATTTACATTTATAAAATTAATTTTGTCTTCTTAAGCTTTTTTTATAGCCCTTTTAAATAAACACTAAAGACTGCAGGCTATAGAAACTTAAAGCTCAAGTCTTAATATATATGCTTAAGATCAGTGAGAAATGAAAATCAAAACAAAAATATAATTAGATATATAATGATCTGATTTATAGATTTATAGAAATCAATGATTTAAATTTATTATGTTTAAAATCATGAATCTCACTAAATTTCATTTCATTTTAAGAGGTTCTGAAAAATATAAAGAAAAAGTCAAAAGTCATTCCAAAATAAACATGCCTGGGATTTTCAAATAAATCAAAGTATTTATATAAGTCCCTTTAGCATAAGCAGACAAGATTTAAGTCAGCTGAGTTTTACGTATACTGGAGTTTCCGCATACTGTCATCATAAGACTATGATGTCTTTATTTCCAGAAGGAAAAAAGTAGTAATTGAAAAAATAAAAACTTTTAATCAACCATTTAAAAATTTTAGGTTATATACACTTCAAGTTTACATATAGTTTCTCCCACAAAAGACAGGTTTTTATTAGTTAATAAAATCTTTAGCATCACTCAAGAACAACAGTTTGGCCTCTCACCAAAACTAAAAATAGACTAAGTTATTTAATAAGTTATAAGAAACAACAACACAGTCCAGAAAGAGCCAAAAGAATTATTTCATGTAGCCGTGAAACAAACAGGAATTAGAGTCAAGGTATCCCATCATTTGCTATGGTTGTTACTGCTTAACAGTAAGTAATGGCATTAGTATACTATTGTCCCTACATCTAAGACACTTCTCCAAAAGGTATTTAAATTCCATATCTAACTATTCTTAAATATTCTTATTAATCAAATAAAATTATGATGAAGAAAATTACTACTAGTGGAACAGGGAATATTCTTATAGTCAGTATTCATATGATGACACATTACATTTTATACATTTAAAGATAGGGAAAAAATTATTAGTCCACTGTATATTTTAACATATTAAGTCTTGAATCACTAATCTGAAATTAAAGAAAAATCCTTAGAGCATTAAAACCCCACACCTGAAAGACTTACCATTTTATCTAGATGTTCAATGGATCTATAAATCTCCCCCTGGGATTCATCATAGTAACTGTAACGGAACCTTTGACCTTGAAACAAATATCATGTACAAAATAAAATAGGGAAAAATTAGAAGCTAAAAAGAAAGCAAGCGCTTACCAAATAATTTCAGTTCTCATGAAAGGCAAAGCACAGCTTAAGCCTCTGAGAGAATCATTCCCAAGAGCCCTCATAAATAAAAATAAAAGGCATATTTGGGAAAGTAATAAAGAAATGGTACATCATCAGTATTTTATGATGTTAAAAACTATTTCAAGTTGTAGGAACCTTAAAGTCACCAGTAATACAAGATTAAGGAAACAAAATAGCTTAAAAGTTAGAAGCATTGTTAAACACTCTATCAGTCTATATTGCCAAGTAAACCCAAAGAATACGATTCAAGAAAATTTGGTTTAAGAAAACTCTCTCAGTGTAACAAATCAATAAAAACTTAGCTTTTGCTGTACCAATGCAAAGATTTGATCTCTATTACAGAAAAAAATGTGTAAGTCAGAGATACTGTGGCTTGTGTGATTTTTATGATCTCAGTAAAAAAAATTATCTCGTTTTTGCACTACTTGGAGAAGATCAATACAAGTGCCTTATACGATGTGAACAAGATACACAAAAGGATAAATACAAAAAAAAGTCCTACCCTGACATAAAATCTCAGTAAGAGAATGCACACAGAACATTCAATATATAGCTGTTCTCCAAAGAATATAGAAAGTAAAATGGAAGAAGCTTAGAAAGAAGACAGAAAACAAAAGATTCAGAAAATAAATTCTGTTTCCTACTACAGTGATATGAAAATAAAAAGTTAAACATATTCATAATTTTGGATTGTTATTCAACTATGACATATCTCAGATACACCTAAATCTATCTTTCAGCAATGCCTTTTTTCCAAGAACTCGTTACTTTTGCATTTCCTTATTTTTAAAGATTCACCAAATGCATTTCTAAAGGTTTAGATTATAACAATCATGTACATCCACCATGCACCTTATGCTTCATGTTTAGAGCAATGTTAATAAATCCAATTACTATCCTCACATCTGAGGACATGGATTTTTTTGGCCAGACAATTAAAGTTTTTAAGTTTTCTGTTCATCTTACTAAAAAAAAAAAAAATTATCTCAAAAATAATGGGCAGTGTAAAATTATAAAACCCTCTTCGATGACTTTTTTTTTTCTTTTTTGGAAAAACCACACACCACAGAACTTAACCCTTCATTCATTTGTTGACGCTGATCACCGTTGGTGGTCACCTTTCTAAAATAAGCCATATTTCCTTAATTTTCACATTTTAACTTTTTGCATACATTAATATATTCAATGATTCAATATAGCAATTCTTATTTTCCCCCAAGAGACATTATTAAATCAATATTGCATCTTATAACTTTAGTGATAATATCCTAGAATCAAACAATAGGGTCTGAAATAATATCTGCTTTTGAATATAACAATGAAGATTACTGCATATTGTCAGAGCTAAGCGATGTGCCACAGTCTCTACGTTAAAAAAAAAATTCTAAAAGATAACAGTATCACTCAATGCCTCTATATTAAATAATTCATCAAACATTTCTTCGAAAATTTAGAGTTAGGTACAGCTTGGTTTTTGTTTTAAAGAATGTACGTACTTCATAGATAACTAATAATGAGAATTACCTAATAAGAACTATATAATTGACCTATATTTCTCATTTGCCAGGTAGCTGTCAGAAGGCTGCTCAAAGCCAAATCTAAAGTTCAGTCATAAAAATTTAGTGATTCTATTCATTGGTACTAAATTTTTACTTCTATTTCAAAGTTCTTTTGATAAAGCTGCCCACAATCTTCTGTGAAACAAATAAACATCTTAGACAAGAAAATTCTGACTCACTGTCACTATAGTAAGAACAATATCCCTGGAGGAAATCAAGGTACAATACAGTTTGATTCTTTGAATTTGGACTGCTGTTTCAGATTTATACTAACAAATACTCTTTTTCCTGCTTCTGGAAATAGCTGTTAGTGTTAGCTAACATCAATAAGCCATGTGACTGGGACATAATTGACTGCTACACCCAGGTGCAAAGAAAAATGTAAATAGTTATAGTGGCAGTCATTTGATACTCAAGTCTTTTCTGCTTACTTCCAAGTTCAGAGCTGCTGTAAAATGACTAAAGTTGGTCATCTCTGCCTTAACAGTAAGTAAAAAATGTACCTATATGTTAAAGTGCTATCTTGTTAATATGGACCATTTTCTATGTTACTTTCACTTAAAAACTACTTCTGAAGGAAAAGAAAAGTACACGAAACGTTTGAAATACTTTAAAATACTGAATCAGCACGTGATTTAATGAGAATGACAAAATGCACAGGAAACCAAATTGAACAAATGTTTAATATTTTGCTATCTACTTTTTGTTACTCTTTAGTAGCCACCTCACATTTAGTAACTGAAAAACCGCACATAAATATTTGAAGAGCTCTAAAGAACATATCAATTAAGAAGCTAAATCCACACTACATATAGCTACTATACTGAATAAATATTTTACCTATAAAAGCTCAAACTGCCTCATGATAATTTTTTAAAATTGTACAAATATTTAAAATTACTTGAGCAATGTATTCTGGTCAATATACATACAGAAAGTATCTCGTATGAAGTAAACAGTTGCCACCACCCTAGCCCGTTATGTACATACGTATTTATGTATGTGTGCCCACACACATGCACACACGTACACAGACACACAACTTTTAGTCAATCACTGCTTGGAAATTGAGTTCAAAAGACCATTTGATTCTTATTAAAAATAAGTTTCTCAAGATTTTATTTAATAATAAAGTATAGCACAAGCACAATAAACTGATTATAAATACACCTTTAATTAAATATTTATCATTGATTGAAAATAAATTATGATCTTATTTGTCTCATGAGAAAATATATTTTACAAGTTTTTAGATTTCTGATATTCAGTAAAGGTTATGAATCTAAACTATGGAACAAATATAGTTGCCCCTGTACCTGGAGAACTGGACTTGTGTATGTTTATAAGTATAAATAAAGCATATTGCAAAGTAAGAGAAAATTACTTACCTGAAACTTATCCTTTCAGAAGGTACACTGGGAAAATGGATTCTTTGAGCCCCTGTTTCAACTCCAAGTATGAGCTTTCTAGCTTTAAGAGCCATTGACACTGCCCCTAGGGGCAGCACAAGCTTTGGAACTCCCCTAGTGAGTATGTCAGAAGTTTCTTCTGGTGCCTTCCCTCAGTTCTTTTCAAATTCAAAAGATGAGAGGAAAAATAACCCAAGAAAAAAATCCTGTAAAGCAGAAACCTTACTCTTTGAGGGAAGGAGGGTAGCTCATTTGTGAATCCATTCCAGAGCACGCTTTCTGAGAAAAAGAAATACAGGTAAGTAATTTTCCCATCTCCAAAGGTGACTGGTGATTAATGAGTGGATTCACAGAGTGTGGAGAATAAGCTCCGGGGATGTCTGTTTAACACACAACAATAACTAATGAAGACAAACATAACAACGAATGGTACAAGAACCAACACTACTTTTAAGTACCTCAAAACAAAAGGTAAAAATATTAAGCTATGCACTGGACTACAGAAATGAACAAGGACCTTGGAAAGTTGATCTATAAAGTCCCCAAAAGATCAGTCAATATGACAGACTTCCTGACATATGTCTAATAAAAACTGAACTTTCATACATTTACTTAATCACTTTGTTAATATGTTAAGCCATTTTCAAATATTTGAGTTAAACCTTACAACAACCTGTTAGATAGATAGTTTGGCCATTCTATACTAAGGACCTAAACTGGGCACATTCATAATTGAAATCAATACCAAAGAAAAAATGAATTTCATAAAGGAAATATTATCTAAGTAGTATAAAGGTAATAATTTTTAAAAGCTACACTGTATTGTCCCTTCATTCTGAAATCTTAGTTATAATGTATATTAGCCTTATTTCAAATCTGCCAAAAATCAAAAACAAGATATGTAAAACCAGTATGTGCAAATATACAAGAAGATGAATACGGTTTGGGTAAAACATATTTTAGGAATTAGCTAACTCGCAATCAAACCAGTTTAAATATTTAGAAAATAGTAATACCCTTGTACCAGAGACTAACAGAAAAGAAGAAATGTATGCATGAATAATCACTTGTTAGTATATATTAAAGAAAAAATTGAATAACATATAAATTTTGTAAATATTAAGGGGAATGCCACTTTTAACAAGTGGCACATATTTACTAAAAAATTATGTAACCCAAGACAGATGTCAGTTTATGGATAAAAATGTGAAATCGCTGAAGAGATTATAGTAAATTTTATTCACATTTAGACAAAATAATATAATGTCATAAACATTCACCAAGTAAATTTATTGAAACTGATTTGCAAAACCACCATAAAAGGCAAATCAAATAGAAGCATGTTTTTTGGTTTTTTGGTTTTTGTTTTTTTTTGTTAGAGACAAGCTCTCACGATGTTGTCCAGGCTGGGCTTGAACTCCTGGGCTCAAGCAATCGTCCTACGTCAGCCTTGCAAGTAGCTGGGGCTACAATCACATGCAAGTGCACCTGGCTCATGATTCCACTTTTAAAGAATCAACTTCAGTTAGATACAATTTCATTTAGAAAGTTCTTAGAAGGTAACCAAAATTATGTTATTGAAAGCAGTCAATAATCTAAATTTGGAACTATATTAAATAAATTTTAGGAAGCTCAGGGAAACACAAATATTAACAGTAGCTATGGAGAATAGCAAAATTGAAACTTGGGAAACTAGAATGAAAGTTCTAATCAGAAAAACTGAAATAGATCCAGAAAAAATTCTCTTATATGGAGCCATCCTATAGGACGTAGAATTTGATAAGTACACAAAGTGTGGGGACAACTTACTTAACCATGGTAAAATAATTAAACATTAGCAGCAAATGTCTTTTCACTTATTCCACTTCCTGCTAATAATAGGAAGGGTGAAATGAGATGGAATCATTGTGAGTGTTATCTGAGAAACACACTCTGGCATTGACTAATGCATTTTCATCTATATAAGTCAATGATGGGATAAAGGGCAGGAACTGAAATGTAGGGTTTTCTTTCGGGGAACTCACATGAGGGGATAGAAGGAAGAGGGATAACAGAATCTAGGTTTCCTGTCTCTCCCTTGGCTTTTCTCAGCCAAAAAGAAAATTTATGAGTATTTTAGTATTTCAACTTTCATCTCTCTAATGTCTCTTTTCAAGTCTAAACAAAAGCTACATGGGATCTGAAAGGCAAACATCTTTAAAATAAAATACATTTTTAAAAAAGAAGTCATTTTTATAATAGATATAAAAGGCAATAGGGAAAAAATCTTTTCCATTTACATATAGGAATCCCAATTGTCTCTATCACCATTTTTCACTTTATTTTTTACAAAAGCTGGACAAATAATATAAAGAGAACTGATGACTAGAAATGAAAAATGTACCCACTGCCAGCAATCTAATATAATATTATTCAACAAAAACAAACTTCCACTGTGTACATCTGAGTAATTTGTCAAACGTACTATAATGAAAGTAAGTGATTTTTCTTCAAAAATCAACTGTTTAGAAATACAGAGTGTTAATAGGTAACTCAATGAACATTTTAAGGTCTTTGCATATTTGAGGAACTAAATCCTTCCCGTGAAATTATTTAGAAGTCAGTATTATTGCTTTTGTATGAAAATCAATCTGTATAGTGTCTTTTTAAAAAAGAAAAAAACACTAAGTATTATTTTGATAAGAAAAAGCTAAATCTTTGAGATAATATAGCACTCTTACTAATTTAGGAAAAATGTCCAATGCCACTAGAGTACAAATTTGAGAAACATGAAAATTCCTAAGTAAAGATGGCTTAACCTGTAACTAGCCAGTAATTCATAATATTTCAATCAATAAGCATGCAAAACAGAAAATGCATCTTACTTTACAAAATGGCAGTTACTAATACCATGGTAGCAAGAAGATTATCAACCTTAGAATATTAACTATGTAACACCTTTCACTTATCCCCAAACCCCTAGCAAATTTCTCAGCAAAAATTAACACAGTGCTTTCCATAAGTACAAAGTACCATTTAATGAGTACTGTTTGTGATGGTGATACTAAAAAAATAAACACTTGGAAAAGTTTTATGACTTAACCACCAAAGGTAAATACAAATATGTTTTAGTCCCTGGATAATTCTCATAGCTATCATTTACTAACCTTTAGAGTTCCTTTTTGTAATTATCACCTGGAAATCCTATCTCACAATTTAGATACCAAAATTTTCAAGAAATCAGGAGACAAAATGGCCTAAATAATTTTCTTAGCATTTAGGTAGAATACAAAACAAAATTTATTTTTTTCTCTCAACCATTGTAGTTACACATAGTAGTGGACTGGAGTTAGTTTGCTTTAGAATTCTTTATTGAACAAAAGAGGATGATTCCACAGAAAAGAGCAATATTAAGGTACCTACCAACATTTTATGCGGATTTATGGTTGCACATGTTGCCAACCAGATTCTGAAGAACAATAGCAAGGGAACTAATTATTTAAATCAAGTTATTCATAGAGCTTTAAAAATGAAGGGGCAAGGAGCATTTGCTTCAAGAATTTCAATTTCCAAAACATATGGGACACATTTTGTTACCAACACAAATTCATAATACTAAGAAAAATAGTCCTTTTTTTCAGTAATAATACTTCTTAGTTTTTTATATCAACTATTACTAAATTTCAAAATTTCCAGGAAAGAAACTTCTTACCTAAATCTCAGTTTCCTAACCTCAGCACTGTTGACAGTGGGAGCCAGGTAAATCCTTCATGTAGGGCTGTCCTGTGCATTGCAGGATGTTTACTTCGCAGCTTTCCTGGACTATACTCATTAGATGGCAGTAGCATCACTACCCCCCAAACTCTATCCCGGTTGTGATGATCGAAAATGTCTCCAGCATTTTCAAATGCTCCCTAAGAGTAAAATCATCCCTAGTTGAAAATAAGTGCCTTATAAAAAAAATTTATCTAACCATTATGGAAGATAGCTCTCTTGAATTGAGATCGCAACTTTAAGAAGGCCACTCAGAGACGGAAGCAAGAGAAGACACCAGCCTAACCAGGACAGATAAATGTCGAATCAATTCTGGCAATTAATGGGTAGGTAAGACATGTAAAAAGCCAAGCCTCCCTATATTTCATTGAGGATGTTTTTCTGGTCATTCTAGCCCTCTATCTTAAAAATTATAGTCTTATATTTTATGTTTTTTTTAAATCAAAGAAATAACTGATAAATGAAAAGATACTGGCATCCTTAAACCAATGAATAAATGGGCCAAAGAGATGTCCTAAAAGGAATGAAACTTAGAAATATTCTGGGACAGTAATGGATAAATGAAAGCAAAGTGTATCCAAAGAATGTGAAAATAAAGTTTACTATGAGAGGCATCCACAAATGTCTCACTTCCTTTATGATCCATTCATTGTGAAGCGTCCTTACTCTTTTAATTCACAATAATCACAAAAATCACTTAAGAGTCCTTACCCTTATAAAGCATTACCAATGAAGACCACAGTGCTAATAGCCAACGTGTTATAATCTTTGGAGGGTGGCTCTAAACTGATGGCAATTGTGGGCAAAAAATAAGCACCGAAGGAAAAAAGAAAGAAAGAAAGAAAGACTAATTACAAAAAAGGAAATGTGGAAAAGGACTGGCATAGCACACAGTGCTTTTCTACATTCTAAAGAAAAACATTTGTTTTATCCACCAAAACTAACTTCAGAGAATCTACCATATATACCTACCTGGAAATGAGGTTAAAAGATCCTAACTCCTACTAACATAAGTGTCTAAGTAAAGATGCCCTCACAGTGTGAATCCAATTATACCAGTCGCCTTTGGAAATGTATCCACAATCCACTATTATAACCTGGTCCTTCTCAAATGATCAAAAGACTTTTTTATTCACTTTTAAACATTGCTGCTATAATTAAAACTTTCCAAGGAAAGTGATAAAGAACTGAAAATTAGAGCTTAGAATGAAAAGATACTTTAACTACAAGTATATAATATCTACCATGATATGTTAAAATCTAGAACTTACCCCAATGGCAGAAATCAGAAGAAACCACAAAGAGATTACTAGGATCCGCTAGATATTTACTGAAGAGTTTTCCGAATTCCTGTTCTTTTGACTCACTCAGAGCTCCAACCAGTACAGGAATAATGGTAAACTCATCCTTATGGCTTAAAGAAAACAGAAGGAAAAAAAAAAGTCATTTAAGATGTTTAAGAATAAAAATAGTTTTCCAAATGTGTTGCCACTAGAAAGCAGAATTTTTATTAATAGTGGTAGGGATAACATATAATATTATTGTTGAATTCTTAAAATCTATAAATTAAATGTTTAAAGAGGACGATTTAAAAATAGGAGAAGTACAGAATACTAAAAATATCCACATAAATTATAGAAATGTAAACTACTTTAGGTAAACAAAGCTAATACCAGTTATAATGATATCCTCAAAAATAAAAGTAACCCCATCAGAATATCACCAACTCAAGCCTTCTCAACTGCCCACCAAAGCTACAATCATCTGCCCAATCCTCTATGATTTTAAAAGAACGTTAAGCTCTTCTTCACTTATTTTAATCCTATCCTATTATAAATACCACCATTTCTGGCACTTGTTCTATAAACCTGCCAAGTGAGACCTACAAAACTTAATCTTGGCTCCTGTATAAGATTCATCAACTGCACTTTTTACACCTATTCTAATAATCAGAAATAAGAAAGTCAGAAGACACAACTCAAATTTCACTGCATCTAAGGTAGAAAAAGAATTCAAGGAAGTATTAATTTGTAGCAGCAAGAAAAAGACATCACGCCCACCCACAATGTTTACAGCATATCCACAAGTCCCTTTTTCACTCTACGGATTGACAGATTTATGGAAAAGGAACAAAGCAGATTAATAAAGAATAACTAAAACATGTTATAGAAAATAGATGTACACTCAAAACTTTTAAAAAAATTTTTAGTGTAGTGAAACTTTACTTACATATATTCAATATTATTTATATTCTAAATGACCCCATATTTGGAATTTTAGAAGCATGAATCATGTTTGCCTGACTTGTTCTGAACAGCACATTAAAAAAAAAGCCACCATTACAATAAATGCTTTTTAATATGATAATCTGACACTTGAGTGATGTAGGACAAACAAAATTCATAAAAGTTTTAAAAAATACTAAATTTAAATAATCCCAAAATAAATATTAGCCCAGATGTATAGAGCTAAATTCAGGGCACCCAAGCGCCTCCCCCATAAAGGCCCCCTTACCCTTGTCAATTGCGAAATAAACAGATCATACAGATCTCCAGTCCCTCTGCAATGCAGGGGCTTCTTGGGCAGAATCTGCATCTATGGAGTAAGAAAAAAAAAGGAAGCTGGCAGAGGAAGCTGCCACGGGAAATCTCTTCTGACTCTTACCAGTTTGCTAAATAACTGCCTGAATGAATAGGGGCTCTTCAATCAGTTAAGAGTGATTATCAACTGACAGAAAAGAATTTCAGCTCCTAGTAAAACTTTAGGAACATTGTGATTAATTATTCTAGCCTCAACTACTATCTACATAAATAAATACACTAAGATCATTAAAGACTCTGCAAGTTATTATGATATGATAAGAAAGCAGTTATGTAGAGTACAAAGAACAAGGAGAAGCCCCAAGAAATGGGTTCAAGTACCATCCCTATCACATACAAATGTTGAGAGCATGGGTAAGTCCCTGGCCTGAGAATTTACTTCCTTATCTGTAAAGTCATCATAATTATAATACCTATTTCATAAAATTGTTAGGAAACAAGGAATACTATAGCAAAGGTGCTTTGTCAACAGTTGGCTCCCTCTGAAGAAACAACCCATTCACTCTCCACAAGAGCTGCCTAACCCTTCAATTTACCTCAGTTTGAGCTTGTAAATTTATCTACACAGAGGTAAAAGTCTTATCCTATGTAGAAACCCAGGACTTGAATCAAAAGATCATCCATCCATCCCTCTTTGTCATCTCTCTTTTAAAAAATTACTTGTTCTCTATTCCCACAAAGAAGCATGAATTAGAGAAAAGAGCATTTGGCTTTGAAATATAATATTCCTAGGTTTTAAAATTCAGGTTCTAAAGTTAGACTTCCCAGTGATGGAGTACAAAATCTTGAGCCCAAAAAGCAATTATAAAACTGGATAAAACTGTCAAAATCAATGATTACTGTGTTCCAGAAATCAACCAAAGGGAAAAGAGAAAAGAAAAGAAAAGAAAAGAAAAGAAAAGAAAAGAAAAGAAAA